GGCGAAAATATTTAATGCTATATTTAGGGTGCAGTCCTTCCCAAAGCAGTGGAAAATGGCAGCAATTCTCATGATACATAAGCCTGGGAAACCTGAAGAGGATCCGGAATCGTATCGGCCCATAAGTCTGCTGTCTTCGCTATCCAAGATATGGGAAAGGCTGATTGCCAACAGACTAGGTGACTTTATTAAGGAGCGCCGTATCCTCCCAGATCACCAGTTTGGATTTCGACAGGGACACAGCACTGTGGAGCAGGTTCACAGACTGGTTAAGCACATTATTCAGGCGTTTGACGACTTGGAATACTGCAATGCTGTATTTATTGACATGCAGCAAGCATTTGACAGAGTCTGGCATATCGGCCTACTCTGCAAAATAAAAAAGCTGCTTCCAGCACCATACTATGGAGTCCTGAAATCTTACCTGGAAGATAGGAAGTTCATGGTCAGGGTCAGAAGCACCTACTCAACCCCTTGCTACATGAGAGCTGGAGTTCCGCAGGGCAGCGTCCTCGGCCCGCTGCTCTACTCAATATTTACCGCGGATTTGCCTTGCCCAAATATGCACCATATGGAAGCTCCCAGGAAGGCCCTACTCGCCACTTACGCTGACGATATCGCACTGTTATACAGCTCCAGTTCTTGCACTGAGGCAGCACGTGGCCTCCAAGAGTATCTCAATACTTTGGCTGCATGGTGCAAAAGATGGAACTTAAAGGTAAATCCACATAAGACCATCAATCCTTGTTTCACCTTGAAGACTCTCATTAGGCGCACACCACCCATACAATTTGATGGCGTAACCCTAGAACAACCTCTGCAGGCTAAATACCTTGGGATCACCCTTGACAAACGGTTGACCTTTGGCCCACACTTAAAAGCTGCGGCACGGAGATGCGGTCAGAGAATGCAACAACTGCGATGGTTGATCAACAGAAGAAGCACCATGACACTTAGAGCCAAAAGGGCAGTATACGCCCACTGTATAGCCCCGATCTGGCTATATGGAGTGCAGATCTGGGGTATTGCTGCAAAATCGAACTATAAACGCATTGAGGTCTTGCAAAATCGTGCAATGCGTGCCATCACCAACTGCCCATACTATGTACGTAGCTCAACCCTTCATCGGGACCTTAATCTGCATACAGTGGAAGAACAGATCTCAAGGCACACAAGCAGATACAGTGATAGGCTTAAAAGACACCACAGCATGCTAGCAAGACGCCTACTCCCTGCCAGGCCTCTAAGAAGGCTTAAAAGAAAGGGCTTTGCCAAAACAATTGGACAGCTTTAAAGACCCCCTCGACGTTTGAGACTCTGTTGTTAGTCTTCCCACGATAAGTGAGAAGTTTGGTTATATTATTTATATGTTTAATTGCAATGTTATGGTACTAGTACTGCATGTACGGATTCGTCGCTTTATAATAATAAACATTTAAAAAAAAAAAAAAAAAAAAAAATGGCTCCATGACGCTTACTCGCCAGTCATCATCTCCATGAATTCTGAAAATTCAATTAAAAATAAGATTATTAATGGAGTGGCGAAAACTAAAAGCGTATGATATATGGGTTGTATAATTATACTAGGTATCAACGCAAAAACCCTAAAAGTAAGCGGGTGCACAGCTAGCCAAATTATAAAAGAGGGCAAATAAGGAAGTCAATTGTTTTCGGAACGGGAGTGGTGAAGAGCCATTTCAAATCTGGGGCAAAATGCTCCGCTTGTTTCTGTGTAAAGATCTAAGGAACTATAAATAAAGCGGCACAAGGGCGTCTCCCCTCTTCAGCGGGATTAGGATGGGGGAGGGGGAGGGGGGCTCCGCCGCAACAAATTGATATAATTTGTGTGGAAAATACCATGGCAGCGGGCCAAGGAATCCAAGATTTTTATCGCCCGACTGACGGCGGCTAATTGGTGCGCACACTTACCATCAAAATCAACGGTGCCAGAGCCGTCGGAATCGATTTCCTCAATCATGATGTCGAGCTCCTGTTCGGTCAGCTGGTCGTCCAGCTCCTTGAGGATCTCCTTCAGGCAGGAGGTGGGAATGTAGCCATTGCCCTGCTTGTCGTACAGGCGGAAAGCCTCGCGCAGCTCCTTCTGCATGGCCTCGTCATCCTCCTCCACGATGAACTTGGCAGCCAGCTGGACGAACTCCTCGAACTCCAGGCGACCGGATTCTGCGCAGGAATTGGGTGGATTAGTTTGAACACAGGGCTATATATATATATATAGGCTGCGAGTACTTACTGTCCTCATCAACCTCGTCGATCAGCTCGTCAAGGATCTGCCTGTCGAAGGGCTGACCCATCAGACGGAGGATATCGGCCACCATTTCGGTGGGGATGCTGCCGGTCTTCTGGTGATCGAAGCTGTTGAATGCCTTCTGCAGCACGGCAATCTGCTCGGGGGTCAGGTCTTCGTCCTGTTAAGAAAATTTCCCGTATAAATTAACGTAATTCGAATTTCCCTCTGCCTAAACACTTTTTCAAGTGCAAGTGGCTGCCATAATTTGCATTCCAGCTGCACTCACAATGTTGTCCATGTTAAGTCCTGTGCTAGTTGTTCACCAGATCGATCACCGCTAACGACTGAATCAGTTCCCCACTTCTTCATTTAGCTGTTGAGATCCCCAAGACCAAAAACACCCACACACAATGCCAGGCATTCCAAAAGTAACAAGCTAATTTATGGTTTTCAGCAGCATTTCGAAAATAAAACCAAGCGAAATAAACAAAAGAAGTGAACGCGCACACGAACCTGTGGAAATCTTAAAATGTGTTTCTAATTTTTGTGGAGTGAAAAAAAAGCAGGGAAAATACGAAAAGCACTGTAAAACCATTGAGCATTGCTGAATTTACTGCGCCTGGCCACCAGCACCACCACCACCACCACCACCAATGCCACCACCACCAAGAGCAGACGATCCACATCCACCCACCCAATACGATTTTGTAGTGGTTTGCTAGGCTTAACAGTGACTATTTTTACCCAGCACTGCGGGAAAAATTCCTATCAGATTCTGGGGAACCTGGAATCATTCTAAATCAATGTGATGATAAACCAGTTTCAAGTTCGCTGTCAACATCTATTAAAATTAAACACGCTTAATGACGATAAAAAATGTCTAAATAACCTTATTTAAATACACATCTCTTTTTTATACTTTTGGGACGCATACTGGTCTTTGTTTTCGGCCAATTTAATAACTACAAACTCCGGCTGAAACCTAAAACCAACCCTGTTCTACGGCTTTAGCTTTTCGGTTTCGCTTTTATTCAGAAATTAACATACGAAATGAGTCAATCGGAAAAAAAAATTGTAAGTAGTTCAGCAGTGGCATTTCGCTCAGTGCACGCTTAAGTGGTGCTCATTAAAATATGTATCAGTTATCCCCTCATTATTGGATCAAATCTGATCACATTTTCCAATTCGCAGCGGTGACACGCTTTATGAATCAATCACGCCGTGCCCATAAAATCATTTAATAACTCGACCAAATTAACGACCAATTAAAAAATCGACATTAATTAAGAGGATGGAATCATACCACACACAGACACCGAAACTCGCACATGGAAATATCAAACGAGCAATGTGTTAAAACATTTTTATAAGCGATTCGAATATTGTCTCTTGCGATTCTCCTTCCTATTCCCATACGCATATAGGTACATACATATATTCAGATTTAAATCAGCCATAATATTAATTCTCTTTGTTTAATGCCAGCCATGATATGCAAATTGATTTATACATTTGAATAAAATAGCCGTTTGTGTGGCACACATTTTCGAATTTGTTTATGTTGGTTTGGAATATTGGGAAAATTGAGGAAACAAATGCTGATTTCGAATTATGACAGCGCCAGCCAAAGAAGCCGCCAAAAAGTTGACGTCACGCTGACATATTGACCATTTGTTTATGTTCTTATTAATTTATTAGCGCGTAATATATGCGACCCATATCTCAAAATGCCAGGAATTAGTAATGGCCAACAGCTGAGCCGGAGAAAGGAATCCTTGGCGCCGCAAAGAATCCGGAAAATTTATGCACTTCTTCATCGAGTTACACGGAGGAAATGTTATGGGCGTTTATCGTTGAATGGGCAATCTAAAAAGAAATAAACACAAAAATGGCATTTTTCCAGCAGTGTATCCCGATCCCGATCCCCGACAGCTCGGTGGCATATTGACATCGCCCTCTCGGCATCTCAATCCATCATCGTTGAGATTCGTTTTCTTCGCTTGCCATCTGTCGGGGTTTCCATGTTGTGCTTCCAGAGCGATTAGCCTCAGCGACCCAGAATCCGAATCAGAATCAAAATCATAGTGACGACTTGGCGGCGAATCGGCAAACGGAGCGCAAGCTTTTCAATGTTTTTTTGACATTTGAGAGCCGACGCGGCTTAGCCTTGATCGTCGGCGGATCGGCCACTTTAGTTACCTCGGATACTGCTACTTTTGCCCCTGATTGCACCACGTAATTTACGATGGCATTCACTTTGCCCGTCGACGTCATAATTGCAGTGGCACAATCTGCATCGCACAGCCTAAACGGTCGCATCACTTTCAAAGACCGAAAGCCTAACATTTGCATCGCAAATTATGACAACAAAGAGCCTGATTATCCCATCGCGATCACGTGACTAGATAGGGATTGCTAAATGTCTTCCCACAGATAAAAATACCCATAACCTTTCCCTTTATTTTGCGCACTAAATGCAACAAGAAAACCCAAATAATTCTGCTGCTTTCATTTTCATCCCCGCAACGAAAAACAATATCGAAAGTGAAAACTCTCGAGACGACCTCAAGTTCAGGGGCAGCATGGCGTATCAACAATGACCATCTGTTAGACCTACATACTACGTACTAATTTAATTCATCCGTCCGGTTGAACCTGACAAACTTGTTTCTGTCAGCTAATGGATGCGTATGTTTGGTTACTCAGTTTGAGAAGCGTCGGTCCTTTTGGTATGAAATCAAAAGTCTTGGAATGTAAGTCTCAACGCATTTATTTAAAACAATTTACTGCTGGGAAGGGTGGGCGGCAATGTATTCCAGGGAACGCTGGATGTAATCTGGGATTGGGGGTGGGGTGGGCAGAGGAGGGTTGGCAGACAGCACCTGGTAACCGTTGGCATCGGCAAGGTATTGAATGGACACGGGTACTCCATCGGGAGAAACCCACGCCTGGGCACCCTTCACCACCCACTCTTCACCGTTAAGGGCACCCTGCTGCTCCACATCGACAGAGTTGTCCAGCTTAAGAGCGAACTTAAAGTTGTCCACATTAACTTCCTGTTCGGAACGGAGAACACCGGCGTCTTCGTTGGCGAGGGCGACGGCCAACAGGCAGGCGAAAGCAATCTACAAGGATTGTAAATAGCTAGAATCCTTTAAGGATCAATTTGTGATAAAGCCACTTACGAAGAACTTCATGTTGATTGTTGAAAGACTTGAGAAGGCTAACTGATATCGAACTGGAACTTCTGCCGGCTTTTTATATGATACTGATGCTCGGCTTACCTCTGCCGGTGGCGCCCAAGTTCAAGTCCGGAGACGCGTAGGATTTAATTTCATTAATTATGCATAAGAAAACACAAAATACATGTTTATGTGTGCCTCGTTATTGCCGTTCAGTTGAAGATCGCAGTGAATCCCATAACAAATCCCAATACAGACGGAAGACAAGTTTGACGCGGAGACATTAACTAACTATGTGTCAAATAGCAGACACATTGTAAAGATATAATTAATTCTCGAATTTTTTTTGACAAAAATGTCAAATTAGCATAATATTTGGCTACGGCTAGCCAACCAACGACCGGTTTGCGTATCTCTGGTGCGTATCTCTACTTGAGTCTAGCTTCGGGCGGACACTTGGTCAGGCCACCTTGACATCCCTCCTGAGAAATCGTATGCATCTGATAACTAATTCGCTTTATTATTCGATCAGTATTAATCTACAGCTAGGCAGTGCCGCTCATCAGTTTCTGGACAGCACGATCGAACTTCCTGCAGATATTAAGGTGATGTGTGGTTCATAGAGTAAAATATACATATTAATTAAGGAGAAGCCCGCTTACTTGGAAGTCAGCGATTCGCCGGGAATGTAAAAGGGATTGCAGACGGCATCCGTGTAGAGCAAGTGGAGATTGCGGAAGATCTGGAAGGTACAAAGAGTAGGAGGTAAAAGGGCTTTCATTTAGGTAATACTTGGATACCCACCGCTCGAACTTCGTTTTCCCGAAGAGCAACGTTGCTGGAATCGACGACCACTATGAATTTCACCCGAGTGTTGGTCACAAACCCGTAGCTGTAATAAAATCAAGCATTCAGTTGCCAATTCCAGCGCATTACTACACCCAAGTACATTTTGTGGTTCTCCGTCGAGTAGAGCAGTCCCAGGTACAGCTCCTTGGACTCCGGAGCACCCTTGCCAATCAGACACTTCTCCTCCACGACGTCCAAAGCGGCGTTAACATGATATTGCAAGTCCAGTTCCTGCTCCATATCGGATGTGGTCAGGTACAGGGGGGCGTTCTGTGGGAATTCGTCATGCTGCTTATTGTATTCAAATGGAAAATAAAACTCACATCCTTGCCAATTACTGCTATGCAAAATGCCATATTTTGTTATTTCTTGCTGCTTATTTGTTTACTGTTCCGCTAGAGGCGGAAGCAAATCAGCTGTTTTCCCCTTATCGATAAGTCAGCCATCGAAAGTGTGGCCAGGTGCAGGGACACGCAGCAGGAAAAATGTTACCGTAACTGATAAGAAGTGAATTTTATCTATACTTGTTGTTAGTTTGTTGTGTTTTGATTGAATCCCATTCCAAGGGCTTGTGCGAACGAAAAAACAACGAAAATTGATTTGGCAGCCATTGCAGATCGGCTTAGCACCCTGCTGGAGATGGCGCTCCAGATAGCGCAGAACAACCGCGACGGCCAGCAGCTGGTGGGCGCTGATCAGGGAAAGGTTGAGGTGTACGTGCTGTTTGCGAACACCACCTACCGCACCCTGGACTTGTACTGGGTGTGCGAGCGGGATCGGGAGAACATGTACCTTACCCTCAAGCCCTTCGAGGAGGTACGGGTGAACACGTTCACCACGCACAGCTGGCTGTTCCGGGACTACTACACGGGCGAACGGATGCACGTACGCTCGCAGAGGATCTTTCAGCCGATCCGGGTGCGGGTGCCCAAGAACCAGCAGAGTCCGGATCAGCTGGTGGACGTGCGCAGCGAAGTGCTGATTCACTTCCCATTGAGATCGTTGCGTGAAAACTGCCTATGGCTGGTTGCCCGCTGGCTGATCCGGACAAGCAACGCGCCACGAAGGATTATCCACGGATACCACATACCCTCGACGCTGAAGCAACAGCTGCTCACCTTGCTGACCTGCATCGAGTCCTATTCCCGAGTGGCAGGCACCCGACGCCGGCGTTAGGAGCGCCCTCTTAGTTGTTAGTTAAAGGGGGGTAATCATCTTAGGGACCGAGAGACAGGCTTGATTTTCAAATAATTTAATAACTTTAATTGATTTTCATCCTGGTTTTCGATTTTCGATTTCGCTTATTACTTATGTACAAATTGGCTTGCATAGAGCTCTTTACAAGTTGGGCTACTACCATTGCATTGATTTTTCTGTATCTTTAACAGATTACTTATACCTATGTTCTATGTAAATAATTATGTATAAAACTAATGTGAAACAAGTGTGAATATTACATACATATATGCGCAATACTCTAGGTCTAGTTGCTTCAGATGCAAATACGTTTTAATGGTATGTCTGCAGTTAGTCCTTTTGCCATGCTTATCTACGTGTGTCGCAAGCTTAATTGTTATAAGTCTGAATCTGAAGTACATATTTATTCCTAACGAGAAGTGAACAAACAAAAGTACTCCGGTGCACTTTTAAATTTTAAAGTTAACGCTTGTACAGATTCTCCTTGAAATGTTTTTGTCCACTAGACGCGACGTGACGAGACGAAACGCAGGTTACTCAAATACATTGCAAAATCAACTTATAAAAATATAAATTGTTAATCGATCTGCTCAATCTCGTTCTCATTCAATAATGCATCGGTACTGCTTCGGTTAGGCGGGAGATCACTTGCCGGCGTTCAATACTTGCGCGTCACGCGCTCCAAGCTATCCCCGATCGAACCTATGGGGCGGATATATATAAGCACAACTCTTGGTTAGGCAATGGCAATTGCAGAAATCAAGTATGCGTTGTGTTTGTGAATGGTGTTCTTGTGTTGGTCTATGCGTGGGCTCTCTTATTTACCATCGTAGTTGAAATTCTGTTTGGTCTTGTACTGAAACGTAAGATCGGTCGACTGTTTCCAGATGAAGTGGCGCACCGTGCGCAGGTCCATGTTGGGGTCCACAACCTTAAAGGGAATACTGTGAGCAAGGGCCTTTAAAAGAGATTTATCCATCATCTTACCACATCATTACACCACAGTTCAATTCGTTCCTCAGCTGGCAGTTGGGATCCCTCCGAATTAGCATCGCTCTGGCTATTCTGCAGTGAATTGTTAGCATTGCCCCCACTTGGAGTAGTTTCCGCATTCAGCACCTTTTCAAGAACGTGCTCGCACACCTTCCGGCACTGAATAAACTCATTAGCCACCAGACGATCCTAAAGAGTGAATATTAATCGTTTTAAAATAGGATTTTTGTGTGGTGTCAAAGACGGCTACCTTCTTCGTCCGTTCAGGCTTGGTCATTTGCGGATGGGGCTGCAGGAAGAACGGTATTTTGAGGAACTTGGGAATGTTCTTCTCGATTACCACGTCGGTCACCCACTGTGGCGCCGTCTCGTGGAGCAGGGTACTTTCGCTATCGCCAGCTGCATCGCGTACTAAAAGTCGACAAACAGTGCGGCCGCCCACTTCACTATTTAAATTGAGCCATAAATTAGCCATGGTGTAGATAAGCTTATATTACAAAGACAAACCTAAAGATGACGGGCGTGTGCTTGGGTACTTGGAAGTAGCCATTGCCGTGCATATCGGGTTCCATTTCGTTTGGTGGTATGCTATGCGGTGGTGTCCAGTACTCTAGCAGTGCCTCCAGAAGCAGCTTGCCATAGTTGATCTATAAGAAAAAAGCATTTCAATAAGTGTCATCTGTGGAAGAGAGGTTTAATAAGCGAGCAACCTTAATCTCTGTTGTGGGATCGACGCACTCCGGCAGTCCAGCTTCAATGGAGACCCAAGCGGAAAAGCAATCGACTTCCTCCTGGCCCAATACAATCGTTGGCATCTGCAATACATGATTAAGCTAAACGAACTTGAGCTTCAATAGAGCTTAACTCACCCCGGTTTTCAGATCAACAGTGAACCAGTTTGGAATGTAAACCTGCTTATTACGCTTCTTCACCTCCGCTTCGTAGTCAACGGCGCCCAACTGCTCTTTTTTGACTACTCTCAGCACATCGTACACCACGACCTGATCCTGTGAATCCTTGGTTATTATATAACGCTTGTCGTTTAGAACCGCGCACTCCTTGATGGCGGCTCCACCCTTAATGCAGGCCACCTCAGTGCCGCCCTGTGTCCATTGTGCGTCCATTCCGCCCGAGGAATTCATTGTACATCTGTCGTACATGGGCAGCTTCCAGCAGCGAATGTCCGAGTTCCAGGTCGTGGCCCACACCCCAGTCTTGTCGATGTTGTAGCCCAGACTAAGCACGGGCGCCTGCTCCTCACACACAAGCGTCTTGTTACTAGGGTTTCGCATCTCGGTTACAATGATGTTGCGATCCCGACTGCCGGAAATGATGTACTGGAAGTTCTCGCTCATCAGCAGCGACCACACGCCCTCCTTGTGTACGTGGATGGTTTGAACACAGCGCTGCTGACCCAGGTTCCATACCTTGATCGTGCCGTCGGAGCTGCCAGACACCACCTGGTTTCCATCGGGCGAGACCACCAAGCAGCGTACGTTTTCCGTATGGCCTCGCAGCTTCATGCTGCGCATACAGGTGCGGGGATCCCAGATACGCAGTATATTTTCCGTAGACCCGCTCACAATCACTGTGCCCGATGGATTCATGGCCAAGCTGTAGATGGAGTCCTTGGACCCGGTTAGACTAGAGGTGGTAACCGTGTTATTGCTCGCCGTGAGAGCGGTCAGCGTGTTCACGTCCCACAGGAAGATGGCCTTGTCCAGACCAGCGCTGGCAACCTGCTCCCGATCCTTGGCGTAGGCCAACGCCTGCACGTAGTCGCGATGGGTCCGCAGGGTGGACATGCAGAAGCCCTTCTGGGCGTTCCACACCTTCACCGTGGTATCACAGCTGGCGCTAATAACTAAGATTCCGGAAGATTCGATAATATATGACTGGGCAAACTGATCTGTGGGGCAACTCACGGTTTCTGCCATTGCAGCAAAGTACTATGTCGTTGACCCAGTCGTTGTGGTGCTCCATCGATTGTATGTACTTCTCGCTGGAGTCCGTCCGTGTATTCCACACCCGGATGATGGCGTCGCGTCCGGCGGAGTACAACTTGCCGTT